GACGAACAGAATCAACTCTTACAGGACCAAATTCAATGCACAATCCCAACTCCTGATTGTAATACATTTTTGCTAAAGCAAGGAGAACTCAGGTAGCTCAAGCTACCTTTCGTGACTTGATGAGAGTTCACAAGCCAAATTGGAACCCAACGTGTGCGCAGCGCACTCGTGCTTCAACCGCAGTCCCACCCACACGTCACCCCGCTCCAGAGGCCGCTGTAGCGCTTGAAGCCCTGCGGTGTGAAGTCACCGTGGAAGAACTTCACCACCAACTCCGAGAGCACGGTGCCCTTGGGAGGGTCACCACCAGCGCCAGTCCTCAGTGCTTAAGCCAATTGATTCAGTTGACATCCTGACACAGTTCGCTGTGAATGGAAGAAAACCTGCACCACTTGAGAGAAGCAATACCACGGCACTTCTGGTGTTGGGAGCACCTTAGGTCGTGCAGACAACAATAGAACCATGCATACAACAATTAATGTTGACCCCAGAGTTATAAATGGACCGTGAATCATGCTATTGTTTTTCCAAAACCCATGATAAAGGGACCCCAAATTGTGCTAGTTTGTTCAAACATTGATTCCGGATTTTCAGCTCCTCAAACCTTTTCATTTCAAATGTGTCTGGATTTTGACTTTGGTGCTGCATTGTGCTTTCAATTTGTCTTATTTGGGCATTGCCACTTGGAACCTGAAATCAACCCGTAAAGACTACCCCTCACAAGCAGCCCAAACCTTCAATTACTCCAGACCTTTCGTTTTCCTTTCATGTCCTTTTCGTTCCTTTTCTTTTCCCTTCACATCCCTTTCTTGTTGTTTTTGTTTCATGTCCTTTTCTTTCCTTTCATGTTCCTTTCATTTCCATTCATTTTCCTTTCATCTCCGGTTCTGTTACGTCTCTTTTCCTTTCCTTTCCTTTCCTTTCAGTGTCCATTCATGTCCGTTTCTTTCCTTTCAATTCTTTGTTCCTTTCATTTCCTTTTCTTTTCTTTCCTTTCAATTATTTGTTTCTTTCATTTCCGTTTCTTTCCTTTCATGTTCCAGTTCTTTCAACTTCAGATCAAGATGTTTTTCTTGTATTTTTCTGGCTTCTTATCTAGGGTCTGCACTTGATCAAGGGGAGGGGGGAGGGATTCAGAGGCTGACATTAGCCTAAGAATCAACAGTGAATTGTAGAAGTTCTGGATGTCCGCATCACTGATGTCGTACTCCCCACCACCACGGGCTGCCAAGGCCGTAGAGCTCTGTCGCAACCCTTGGGTGTTCACATTGGGCGCGACGAACGCCCAGCGGGACACAGTGAAGGCCCCGGCGAAGAGCACGGCCGAGACGAGGAGATTCGAAGCGCGCGCCATGGATGGTCGCAGTTGCGGAATAGCACGGCTGTGGAGGGGCTGGAGCCAAAACCTGACAGAGAAAAAGGAAGAGTAAACAACAAATCTACCAAAGAGGCACCCAAGATAATCAAAGGATGTTCATAGTCCTCTTTTATCCTCTTTTATCATCTGGTTGTGGTTGTGGTTAGTGAACACCCAATTGGAACAGGCCAGAAACCTCCATGTTCATATCATCTCTCTACTCAAACCCACAAAGAACATCTTAACAGACTGTTTCTACTGATGCTCCTAAATGTTCGAAAGATAGATCTACCAAGAGAACCACACTCCTTCTGCCCATCTCCCCCTCCCTCACCCCATCTCCAGAACAACCGCCCCATCTCAAACAACCTCCCCAAACTCCAAAACGCCTCAACCAACGCATCACCAGGTCTTCTCTCTCCTCCCAAACTCCAACCGGTCACCGGTCACCTCCAACCGGTCCTCCGCCCGGCGCAGGACTAGGACCCGCGCCTGCGCGATCGAGGCGACCATGCGCATGAAAGGCCGCAGCCCGCAGAAGGGCAGCCGGGTGTAGCCTGAGAGCGCCGCACCGGTCGGACGACATGGGAGCGGTGGGGGGAGGCGCGGAGGGGGGGAGGAGGCGGGTCGAGAAAAGAGATCTCTGGAAGTTGAAACAGGAAGAAGATGAAGTTCCAACGGGAGGAAAAGACGTAAACAGGGCGAAAAGGTCAGACGTGTTTGCTGTGTTTTTGCGAGGGGGTGCAGGTGGAACGTGAGCTGAAGAAAAAGGTGAAACGGATTCAACGGGGGCACGTGAGCGACCGGTGGGACGTGGGCGACCGGTCTAGAAGTTCAGTTCAACTATACTCTTCTTTAGCGAAGCCTTAGTGGAGCAAAGGATGTTTCCCTTTCAAATGCCCAAGTCAGATACAGTAACTCGGTCTATAATCATTGGCTCCCAGGGTATTCACTCTTTAGAGACCTATACAATCTATACTAGCTTTTGGTCCACGCAAGGGAATCAAAAAATGGCTTCCCAGACCAACCATGTATGAAATATATATAGTTACCTTAGGGTCATAAATGGAGTAAATGTGCTATCTACAATGGGGTGGTTGAAAAGGGGTGAATGTATATATTGTCCAGTCCCATGGATGGTCTGGTGGGATTGGATGGTATATCTCCATGGACGTTCTCAATCTTTCGTCATTGATTGACCCCTTCTCTTGACCTCCTGCCACCTCCTGCCACCTGAAAGTCCACCAACCCGCGATCCCTCCCATCTCGCAATACCATGTGGCGAACCATGTCGCTCACCATCTCGCGGTAGGGGTTGACCCTGAAGCTATAGCCTTGGCCATGTGCAACATCTGCTTTCCATGGTGAGGGGCGTTCCAGTGCGTCAGTCTCTCTGCCCACGTCTCCCATGAAGTGGTGAACCCATCTCACTCGGCTCAACGGGCTGTCGGACTGTGGTTCCCTCAGTGCAGTTGGCGGGGACACCGAGCGTGGCCCACGTGGCACGCGTTGCCGGTCTGGTGCTTTGAGAGGACCCTGGTGCTTCAGTCCCTCCCTCGGTGCCTTTAGCACAAGGAGTCCAAAGAGATTATATCATGATCACCTATATCCCAACGAGATATAATCAACCACTTGTGATATAATACCAGATATAATCAACCATACTGATGGTTATATCCCAACCACTTCCTTTCTGGTTTTTACTTATCAGTAGTCAACCAGACGCAAACACACACGCGGTGGATGGAAGGCATCGTTCCAGCGGGCTTGCTCTTCTTTCGTCATACGCGGCGTTGGACATCAACTGGGAAGTCCCCACCTGCCCGGACAACATGAGCTTGATCAAGAGCTTTATAGTCTTTCTCCCACTGGGTGAGAGGATCTTGAAAAAACATGTCCATCTTTCCAACCGAAGGCTGCGCAGAACCGTCGACCGTTGCCTGGTCACCGTCGACCGCCCCGAACACCGAACACCGGGGACTGCGACGAAGAACTCTGAGGACCGCGCGGCCGCTGACGGGGTTGGCCACCGCGGCATCCCAGAGAGGGTGGCCCTGCAGAGGAGGAGAGTCCGGTGTGTTTTCTGTTTTCGTGGCTTTTGGTTGGTGTGTTCGCTATTTCATGTTACATCACAGTCATATGATGTCATATGCAAAAATCAGTTCAAATACCACTGATTTCAGAGATGACACAACTCCAATCTCCACAAAAGTCGAAACTTATAAGATCCTGCCACTGAGCGTGCATCTGACTGCAAGTAAAGCTTGAGGGTAGTTGGAACTGCCACTCATTTTTCACACTTTCAGATAAAGGGTTCCCTCTCTCTGTTTTCAGTTCTTATAAGCTAGGGAGACCCGCAACCCATGGGTACACTGGTCTATATTCTGAACCTCCCAGGGGATCGAAACGCCATGCCGGGTTCGGTCCGAGGTCCTGTTTTCATACAAACACACCGTCTGCACTCAGCATCCGTGGTCTGTACGTGGTTGCCATGTTTCTTCTCTTGATCGCCCTTCCCCCCTTCCCCTCTTCTTCCAAACAGCCGGTCTTCGGAGAGGCTGCGGTCGGTTGCTGCCACCATGTAGGAGGGTGCTACTGTAGCAGGGTGCTTCGAAAGTTCCAAACAGTTTGCTCGTCTTGGAGTAGTGAGATCAACCTGAAAACCCTCATCGAGTACCATCGCTGCGGATGATTCAAAAATCCGACCATGGTCTCTTCATGCTCATTTGGGGTCATATATGGATCCCCACCAGGCTCGGATGAAACACATCCCAAACCACCCACAAACACCTGGCAAGAACGCTCCGAGGTCCCGCAGAAGAGTTGCTGTTCTCGCACCGAATTGGTTCCGCCGGCAGCCGAGGTCGAAGGCTCCGGAAGACGTCCGGCGGGCCCCTCCGCCCAGGTGACGCGATGGCTGCGATGATGCGCGGGGCCTGGGTGAGGTTGAGCAACTCCAGCATGGCCTCTTGAACCTCCGAACCGTCGCTCCGAACCGTTGCGGGCAGTCGGGCGTCGGGCGTCGGCCCGCGTGGGGTGGGGGGGGTGGTTCTTCACCAAGCCGGTCGGAGACCCGCAAAGGACTCGGGCACGACCGACCTTGGGCGTTGGCTACATTTGGTGGGCCTTAGTGGGCTCTGGTGGTTTCCAGGTGGGTCACGACCCATCCCGGCCACAGCGCCATGCACCGTACTGGGTGAGAGCTGATCTGCCGGGAAGTTGGTGGTTCGTGGGTGTCCTGTTTGCATGAATCCAGGTGTCTCAAGCACACCCCACTGAGGCGCCGGGAGGCCTGATATCATTGCTATCCCAAAAATGGAAGGCTGTGCCCATTGTGTGGACGCGCTCGGTCATCAGAAAGTAACTAGCACAACTAAAGCTTATACTGCGGGAATTGCCAAACAAAGCTTCTGACAATGCTTTCTCTGAAAGCATATACGACTCGGGGTATGAAACCCAAGCAAACAGGAAAGTTGTATGCCTGAATGCCTTTCCAGTTATACCAGCTCTACATACAGTTGCTTAAAGAATTCTTTTCACTACGTTGGTCACCACAGGTAGTAGGAACGTTCAAAAGATGAATATTGAGCAAGGTGAATGGGCGAATCCCGGATGGTTTGCTTGCTGATGAATGAAGCTGCCATATGGTGGAAGTTGTACATCATGACCTTTCCAAGACCTTGCCCTCTTTCATTCGCTCTTGACCTGCGCCGCACCGGAGCCGGGACCCTGCGCGACCGAACGTTCCGAACGCGGCCCGCCACCCGACCTTCCACCCCTCCGAAGGCCGCCCCCCCCCTTCCGTTCCGCCGCGCCGTCAGGTTCACACGACCCGGCATGCTCAAGAGATCCAAGACTTCAGGGATCCTCGGGAGCACAAGAGCCACCAGAGTCGTGGAACGGGAGCCAGGTACGTGACCGCCAGGAGACCTGGGGAGACCGCCAGGGCCACCCAATTGAGATAGTCAAAGAGTCGAGTCCTTCAACCGTTGACACTGGTGCTTTGAGGCTGGTCTCGGGTGCTACGCCTCCTCACCTGTCTGCGACCCAGGAGCGCAGCGGCACACAGGAGGCACTTGAAATCGGTATACTGTGGTCAATGGGCCCTCTATGGCAGGGGATCATTGAAACGCAGGGGGAGAAGGACCCCGAACCAAAGCCCTTTCCATTGGGATAGGGGCCCGGATGGTTGTCATCTCATATGGATTCGTGTATTCAGCGTGGTCGACCATGGGCTAGGCCTGCAGGGCTGCGCCAGGGCTGGCGGGGTGTCATGACCCAGCTTGCTACAACTGTTGCTGGGTAATTATTCGATCCGCCTGAGCGACAGTCGGTTCACTGATCTGCAACATGTCAGATTGCTTTGGCTGTTCAGTTTTGGATCATATATATAATCCCTTTCTTGTTCTCTTTGCGAGCTTTAAGAGGTGATCGTAAGCCCCCCAGAAAAATAAGTATACACTGACTGACTATAACAATAATCCGTCCCTTGTGCCACCCACCCACCCAAACAAAAACAATAAGTGACAAACAAACAAACAAACAAACAAGCAAGCAAGCAAACAAACAAACAAACAAACACCACAAAGAAAGAAAGAAACAAGCGAACTATAGCTAGCTAACTAAAACCGAGACGCGGCCAGGGCGAGAGCAACATCAGGCCCAGCACCTTCAGACTTCCCGAGTCTTCCAGCAGCGCCGTGCCTCGCGAGCGGGACCGTCGAGCACGAAGCCCGCCGGAACGACGTGGCGACGACGAAGCCCCCGAAGCGACGACGACGGGGAACATCCCGTGTCCCACCGTGTTACGGTTGGAGCGGGAAAAAGAACGAAAAGCGAGCGACCCGAAAGGAGCCCAACTTGGACGCGGACACTTTGGGGGGTTCGTAACGCTGCGGTCGCACCACGGGGGACGTACACCATCGTATCACCGTCGTGGTCCGGGTGCAGAGGAGGTCGGTAGGGGTCCCAACACACGACAAGGGTCCCAACGCAGCAGTACAGTCCAGATGAACCCAAGCAGTGTGTTTTCTTTGACACCACCGAGTCGTGTTCAGGAAATTCCACATATAAACTCGTGTCACCAAGTCAGGGTGATGTCCTTCTTGGTCAGCTGGTGCTCGAGTGAAGTCCTGGAATTCCACGTTCCAACCGCAGGAGGTCGAGTCCACCAGTGCTGCTCTGTCCAGGTTCTTGACGCCTTCTGGATTCGACCACCAACATCCTGGATTCCCGCCGGCCCAGGCCCAAAAAACACGCCCAGATGGACGTGGAACGGAGTGAGTGCCCAGAGAATCCCAACAAGGAGAAAAACACCACACGATGGTTTGTCGGACAGAAAAAAAAACAAGGCCGCCGATCTGTACAACGAAAAAAAAAAACCGACGTCTTCTGGGCTCTTGTCACACGATCCGACTGATCCAGTCCAGTTGTTCGCAAATCCTTTGACCCGGATGTGTCGGGTGAACAGGGTTTCTTGAAACCATAGACTCATAGACGTCATAGTGGCAAAAGCTGGTGCTGCAGTCACGAACTCCTCATAGACTCATAGTCTTCCGAATGCCCATTGGTCTTGAGTATCAGATCGGGACGTACCATAGCTGAACAGGTGAACACATGATTTATCCGGCAAGTATCAGTATTCACTATCCATATATGCACTCATAGCAAGTGTTAGCAAGTACTCGCGATCTGCGTCCTTACCTTCCCGCAATGACTCAACAACTGGAAGTCCTTTCCAGTGACCGAACGAAAAATTAAGCTTATAAGAAGATGGATGGTCAGGGGATCTGCGTCCCTTGTTCTTTTCCTCCAAACCTAGGGGGATCTGTCGAGTCCACCAGGACAGTCGCACGAGTCGGGCATCGGCGGCGGCATCTCTCGGTCTTCGCAAGCGACGCAGCTGCACTTCGGCACTGCGCAGCAGCACTTCACCCTCCTCCTGAGATGACATGAAAGGCCCAACGGCCTCCGTGATGGTCGTTCTAGAGAAAAGCTGCATGATTTGGATGTGTTTCTTTTCCCAGACCAGACAAATGGGATTGGAATTAATAGTTACCTACATTGGGGTCATCAATTGGGTTGAATGATGGTAAACGTAGGTAACTCTATTCCAGTCCCATTTGTCTGGGATTTTGCCCCTTCGACAGCGAAGAAACCGAGGAAGATCTTCCCTCCTTGACACCCTCAGTGGAACATCTAGGGCCCAGGAGAATGATGTGTCTTCTACAAAGGGCTGCTTTTCAGCCTCCACAAGGATGCCCTTTGTAGGCCATGCAGGAATTGAAATGTGGATGTTGAGGACCAATCCCCACAGAAGAGAGGGGTGGACGAATGGTCGAGCTAAAGCAAAGCAACAAACCAACAGCAGCAGCCGCGGCGGCAGCAGCAGCTCAGAAGCTCAAAACGAATCCATCACACTAAGCCACCGTACAATTGAAGGGAAATTCACCCATCCCAGGGGGCAGAGCCTAACCTAGGGGCGCCTCCGACCCCAAAAAGAGATCATTGAAACGGATCCGGGCCCTAAGCGAATCTCTCTTCTGCTTTTTCAGCGCGCTGTAAAAAAAATGGGTCGCCCACATACCCAGCACCATCCAGCACCCCAAGAGCCAAGAGCAATTGGTTGGATCTTCGAAAATACCAACGTTCAGATTCCGATGCCTTCCTGTCACCTATAGAGTCATGGTGAAGAACCTCCCCACCTAGTGATACACCCTCCGAGAAAAAGCGAGGAACTATCCAGACAAAAACAAAGCCCTCGGTGCCCAGAAGACAACATAGGGTCTATCCTATTATGGTTAGGTTGCAGGCCTTGTCCAAAAGTGATGTTCTTGTGTACTGACTGTTACAGGTAAGAGCCGATAGACCCAACCTATATATATATATTATATATATTCACTACCTCCAGACACTCCATGGGACTGCCATATATGCCGATCACTTGGGGTGGTTTTTGGGGTCGGGCGGCAGTCCTATGGCAGTCCCACTAGTCGTGTCTGGGTCTTGTGTATTTCGACTCCCTCGGTGATCCCATCGAGTCATCTCCTGCCTTCGAGTCCAGTGGAGCTCCTGCAAGAGGGTGCGAGAGGGTGCCGTGGATGGAAGGTGCAGCGGAGGAAGGATCTTTCGGAGCAGGTCATGGTGGGTCACCCGTCCATGGACACGTGCCTGCAGTGCCTTCCTCGCCCGTGGTGGGGGGCGGTTCCAGTCATGGTCACGGGTTCCTGGGTCACCCAGGCATGTTGGAAACCGCCGACATCGACATCTCTTGCAAAAAGTATCAAAAAGTGATGGTTCCAAGCCGGAAGACCCACCAGGTCGGCTTCGTGCCGCAGGTCGACCCGGCGCTCCGCAGACCGGTCGGCGCTCCGCAGACCGGTCGGCTCCTCGCCACATCGTGGGGAGGGCAGTTTGCTTTGGCGAAACACGGATTGAAATCAATGACACAAGCTACCCCCCAAAAAAAAAGGACCAAGCCTTCCGCGACCAGACCCCTTCCATGTTTGTTGGATTATGCGGAGATTGGCCAGTACCAGTGCGAGTTCAAGGGCAAAGGTTCAAACATATTTTCCTCACCTCCTCCCCAAAAAAGAGGCACGGAAACCGTGATACTCCTGGCACATGCGTCTGCTGCGGCTCAGGCGCCGTATGCTGCAGCAACCCATAGGACACCAGCCTAGTGGCGAACGAACCGTCACCAGCGACTCGGACGGAGGTCTTTTGCTGCGCAGGTATAGTGTAGATGCCAAACACTCCAACTCCAGGTCCCATGGAACCCCCCCCTGGGTACCTATTTGATCGGTACCTACCTCTTCTATGAAAACATCGTGTTTTACAGTGTTTTGTATATATGGCTGTGGCTCAAAACCCAGGCACCCTGGTTGACCCCGGGTCAAATGAGATCTCTTGATGTTCGAGGTGTCAACCGAGCTCCCATCAGCCTCGGTGGAGGTGCCATTGACTCAAAGCCATATGCTGAGAACAACCCCAATCACCCATCATTCGTGACCAAGCCACTTGGCTCCTGCCATTACGTTGAGAAGACCTACGGGTCAGTTGGACCTCATTGTTACAGGTCAGTTGATCATACAGGTCAGCACGTGACGAACAAATCCGGTGGGCCTTTTCAAGGAGACTGGACCTGGGTCAGACCTGGGTCAGGCATGTATGGAGCCCTTTTCAACCACCCCAACGTAGGTACATCAATGCCTGCGAGTCCCAGACAGGTTGTGTTCTTCTCGCACCGGACCTTATAGAAAAAGAAGAGGTACTTATTGTTGTAACTACGTAAGATAGGCTGGACACAAACTCCTACCAAGAAGAACCTGGACTCTGCCAGGAGTTGAAGAAGTTGTTGATGTATAGTTGGTGGCTCAGGCTGTCTTTGTCAAGTCAATCCTTTGGAACAAAAGTTATAAAGCCCGATATAGGTCCTCGCAAAAAAAACACCACGAAACATTTGTATAGCAGCGTTATCCACATGTTCATGTTGGCTCATCAGACTCAGACTAGCTGCTATAGTAATTATCCTCAAAAGCAAACGACCCAAACTCCTACACGATTCGCACCGGCACAAAGCCCCCGGCCCGGTTCGCGCCGTGCTAATGCAGCCGTGGGGCATCTGCATGGCAGGCACCGTGACACGACAGGCGGGGCCCGGGGGCGGCGCTTGGAGAAGCTGGAGCAAGGCCTTGGTGCCTGCGGGTCTGTCGTCTCGAGGCAAGACGAGGCGGCAGAGGAATGGGGCGGCACCATCGGGCACCATTCGGTGGGAACCCCCGTTGATCCCCAGGGGTCGGTTCTGAACCGATCAACGGGGGAGGCTGGGTTCCGCACGGCCAGGTCTTTCTCGCTTGGAGTTCGGAGTAAAAAGCTTGACTCACTGAGTCAGTGTCCGTGAAAAAAATGGAAATCGCTGGCGTCTTCCAACGTCTTTGCTCCGCAAGCTGAAGATTTCACAAGAGGGTACAAGCACCATCCCCAGCAAACTCACACTGGGTTCCATCTTACATCCTTGGCCCTGTCTCCAACTGTAGAGAATAAAGTGCAATTATATAAATACCAAATACCCCGGTCATACCCAAAGGGCCCCAAACAGGTCAGGTGCGTCTCTTTGGATCACCAGAAATATCGGCAGAGGAGGAATCATCTTCCGTCGTGCTAGTGTCGAGCCATATAACCAGACCACGTTCATTTGTAGACAGCCCAAACCTCCCAATGTAGCTATGACCTAATGTAGACTCTTGAGGACCATACACCCCCCAGATATGAGGATGTTCAATTCAAATGGCTGGGTGCATTAATCAAGAGTCTACATTCTTTACATTGGGATGGCTGATTGATTTCAGGGGTCAATGTAGGCAGCCAAGGCCGCCACACAAAGGCCGCCACTCTTCCGGAGAGTTACGCAGTTCATCCGGACTTGACCGAGAGGTTCAGCCCGTCAGGTCCTCCAGGGACAGGCCTACAGGGACAAAGTTGGCCCCGTCCATCATGGTCTGCAGCATCCTGCAGTCAGGTGAGCTGCAGGTTCTGCACATGCCCCGCCACCCCCAGGTGCACCAAACCCCCAAAGAAGCTGCCAAGCTGGCGGCGAGGCCTCCAGGTTTTGGTTCAGCCTATTCAGTACAAGGTTCAGTCATGCGGAGTATGCAGCGGGATTCGAACATGAAGGAATAGTTGATCCTCAAGTTCTCAACTGATTCTTGCACGTCACCCAAAAGAGCATGACCCAAGAGTGTTTACATACATCTCGCCCCGACACAACAACCAAACGAACGAGCATCAAAAAGCCTAGTTACCTGGTGATGTCTTCTCCCCAAAAAAAACATATACATGAGGTATGATCATATTCTACGTCTTTCCAAACCCCAAAACCAGCCCAGTCCAACCCGGCCCAGTTCGAACCGCAGTCAACCTGAGAGTCCATCACCGAGTCCATCACCTCGTCGCGCCTTCCCGGTAAAGTCTCCGTTGCGGGCGTCTGCAGGCACGCCGCAGCGCCCTCGCTGGGCGCTTCCAGTCCGCCGCGGCGGAGGAGGATGCCGCGGAGGGCGCTGACCTGGAGAAACACAGAGCGCGGAGGCCGCGGAGACCGTGGGAGATGATGGGACCAAATAGCCAGATCATGCCAGATCAGATCAAAGGAATGGGAAGAGTGAAGCCATGGATGGGGTCGCACATGATGAAAATGCGGGTCTATAAATTTACGTTTTGCTAGTCCAGTCCCATGGATGGTCTGGGAAAATTAGAGACACCTACTGGCTAGGAGCAGCGACCCGGCGCAATAGCAAGAAAATCAGTGGACGCCCTTATAAATGACCAGTGATTAAGATGATAAAATCGACAACGAAGAAAGGACGTTCTATCTCTTTATGTCTCTCTGTTCTTTGTCTCTGTGTGTGTGGGGGGGGAAGAGCAGACTGAAATGGCTGCAGTGTGAAACATGTGGTTTGCCCCGGTGGGGTCTGAGTCTATGTAGCTCAGCAGCTCTAGCAATCTCTATGTTCCTGAAGTTGAAGGATATGTCATACCTGGATCTTTCAACTGTGCAAAATGTCTGCCTGTTAGATGGTTTTTATAAACCTTGAAGTCCAGCCAGCAACCACTCAGAGCGCCCCCCCTCCCGCCTGATTGAAGAGCATCCAGCCAGAGGTGGTCACATCAACCCTGAGGAGCTCCAGGAATTCCCGGCCGAAGCCGCCGAGGGCACCGAAGCCAATCCTCTCCCCAGACCGGGACTGGCATAGTTGCCTACATTGAGGTGGTTGAAAAAGGGTGGTCAATGTAGGATCATGCAGGTAAATATTCCATATGTATATATGATACATCACGAATGAGACTTCAAAGCTGTTGCTGTGCGTGTGTAGAGGCTATCGAGCGGTTGACGGAAAGGGAACTTGAAGTACTATACCTGGTAGCTGCAAGCAAGGTGCCAACTACACCTTTCTTTTCAAGGTGGCCTGAACAGAGTGTTTCAGGGCAGTAAACCGTGGTCTCAGGCCACCTTGAATTTAGCTTGAAAACCACAGCTACATAGCTACCCTGGGTCTCTATACCTGGCAAGGTGCCAACTACACCTTTATTTTCAAGGTGGCCTGCACAGAGTGTTTTAGGGCAGCAAACCCTGGTCTCAGGCCACCTTGACTTTAGCTTCAAAACCACAGCTTTGAAGCCTCATGCGCGCCATACCTGGGAACAGAATTGTAGCTACAAGACCTTTATTTTCAAGGTGGCCTGAACAGAGTGTTTTAGGGCAGCAAACCGTGGTCTCAGGCCACCTTGAATTTAGCTTGAAAACCACAGCTACATAGCTACCCTGGGCGTCTATACCTGGCAAGGTGCCAACTACACCTTTATTTTCAATGTGGCCTGAACAGAGTGCTTTAGGGCAGCAAGCCCTGGTCTCAGGCCACCTTGACTTTAGCTTGAAAACCACAGCTTTGAAGCCTCATGCGCGCCATACCAGAACTGTAGCTACTTGTAGCTACCCTGGGTCCGTATAAATAGGGTTTGCTGCCCTAAAACACTCTGTTCAGGCCACATTGAAAATAAAGGTGTAGTTGGCACCTTGCCAGGTATAGACGCCCAGGGTAGCTATGTAGCTGTGGTTTTCAAGCTAAATTCAAGGTGGCCTGAGACCACGGTTTGCTGCCCTAAAACACTCTGTTCAGGCCACCTTGAAAATAAAGGTCTTGTAGCTACAATTCTGTTCCCAGGTATGGCGCGCATGAGGCTTCAAAGCTGTGGTTTTGAAGCTAAAGTCAAGGTGGCCTGAGACCAGGGTTTGCTGCCCTAAAACACTCTGCGCAGGCCACCTTGAAAATAAAGGTGTAGTTGGCACCTTGCCAGGTATAGAGACCCAGGGTAGCTATGTAGCTGTGGTTTTCAAGCTAAATTCAAGGTGGCCTGAGACCACGGTTTACTGCCCTGAAACACTCTGCTCAGGCCACCTTGAAAAGAAAGGTGTAGTTGGCACCTTGCTTGCAGCTACCAGGTATAGTACTTCAAGCTCCCTTTCCGTCAACCGCTCGATAGCCTCTACACACGCACAGCAATCCACAGCTTTGAAGTCTCATTCGTGCTTTGAACTTGTGTAGGTGTGTAAGAGGTCTCACGGCCGCCTCCACCTGGCAAATGCCAAGCGGAGCTGCCGTAGAGAAATGAAAGAAAATGGAGTGGGATGGTGGATCTAGGGTGCAGACCTACCTTTCTATCCTATGCTTCGACGCGCAGTTCTCGAGAAAGGGAAGCGCTGGCTTTCGTTTTGCAGCTTCTCAGGTAGTATGTTGCTGTACCTCTTACACACCTATACAAGTTCAAAGCACGAATGAGACTTCAAGGCTGTGGCTTGCTGTGCGTGTGTAGAGGTTCTCAAGCGGTTGACGGAAAGGGAACTTGAAGTACTATACCTGGTAGCTGCACTATAGCTACCCTAGGTCTCTCTACCTTGCAAGGTGCCAACTACACCTTTCCATTCAGATGATGCAAATGATGCATTTGGCATTTCTTGCATCACCACCCCTCAAAAATCACCTCCAACACAACCTCAAAAAACCTTCCCTCGGAGCACCCTCCTCCCCCAGCATGTGCTGAGTTGACGTGTCCCTTTCTCGGGCCACCCCCCCAGACCCCCTAACTACTCACTTCGTTCGCCAGACACAACTCCGCTAGCGCCTTCTACGAAGGCTGGCTTTCGTAATATAGGTAGATATTCCATATATATATAGTTATATATACATGAACGGTCTGGGTAAGACTAGAATCAATGCCACGATCGCCATGCGCGGTTTGGAGACCATGACCGACCCGGACACCCCCCAACCGTTGGGGCGGAGCCATGTATGTGTTCCGTCCCATTCATCTGGTTCTTGAAAAAGTGGGACAGTGGTCACCAAGAACCTTTAGCTGGGTGTGTTTTGGCAGGGAGAACCCGTTCCAAAACCATCTCGACCATCTTTCCAGAACCATCTATATGTGTCATGTCCCAAACCATCATGACTTGGACATGTCTCAAAAGCGTATGAAACTGCAGATCCAGGTACCGAACACCAAACACCGGACACCATAAGACACCCTGTACTGTTTGGTGGTCCTTTGGGAGTAACGGAGTAACAGAAGGGTCTGGTCCCAGGTACCATTTTCCCCCAATTCATCAATAAACCAACTCAACACCTGGATTTGCTGTCTAATCAACCAACCAAGGACGTGAGGGCATATGGAATCAAGGCAGTCAAACGCAGAGACCTCCTGACGTGGTTCTTCGGCCGTGCCATGCCGTGGCGGCCGGTGAAAGCATCTTCGCCCGAGCTTCAAAGAGAGGCCCATGCCCAAGATCATCTGCAGCATCTCTCTCGCCCTGCGAGAGACGCCCAGCGACGGAAATGCGAGGCGAGCGCAACCTCATCTACAAGGCATAGATGAGAAGTCATTCCGAAAATGAGAAGTCGAACCTAGAGTAGATAAATATCACAAATTTAATTCAATTCCTATCTTGTCCTATATGAAAAATGTTTATGTATGCTGATGATTGATACCATTTGATACCTTTCAATATCAAATGGTCAAGTCATTGACTGCCCCAAAAATGGGGGGAACAATGGATGGACCCCAAAGTAAACCCCCAGACCTTTGACCCTTTGAGACCGGACGGACCCACGATTTGTTTGCAGAGCGTCGACTCTTCCCAGGCGCGCTTGGGATGCAAAGGGGCTATCCAAATCCCTGGGTCCAGTGGCAAATGTTCCATCTCAACTTTGTGAAAGGTTCCCTTCGTTCTTGAATCAAAGGGTCTGGACCTGAAGGTTCCCTTCGTTCTTGAATCAAAGGGTCTGGACCTGAAGGTTCCCTTCGTTCTTGAATCTTGCAATGTCTGGACCCTGCAAGACATCGGAAAGTCACCCCAAACCAGCACCCTCGACCAGCACCCGCCGATAACAGGTCTCTTCTGGTAGTGGATATCCATATTGCGTATGAAATTCTGGACCGGAAGGAAAGTCGCCCCAAACTCATTGGGTGTGTCAACGATTGATTGTGTCAAATACACCGGGAATAGGGGCGCCCAACGCTCATACTGCAGATCCAACAAAAAAACATAACATGTAACATGCACTTGGGTTCATACCCTAGTTGGCTCACAGCTAGGTTCATCGAGAAGTGTAGTTCACCACTAGTTACTCGTTGCTCCAACCCGGAAAAAATCTGTGAGCCGAGGCAAGTTTGGTGGTCAAAATCAGCCTGATGTCTCTGACACCATCCCCAAGGACCTCACCATCGCCCACCTGAAACCATTTTCCAAGACCTTAAGCTCCTCCCTTGGTCTACGAAGTGACGCCGGAGTCTGAACAGGCCCAAATCATCCATGGCACTGGAATAGATGGTCATTGACCCCAAGTCATTCTTCTTTGTCCCATCAAAGAAACCTGTCACGAGTCACCGAGCCTATACATACACTTCCTGGAACGGCCCCATGGTTACGTGGATGGCCTGGCCCCGAGTTCGGAAGACCATGAAAGCCACCACAAACAGGTGGTGAACTCCACTTCCATCTTAGTTCCAGAGAGTGTACCCCCATGTTCCGACCAAACGGACCAGTCTGTCCCATTGGATGCTCCCGATGCTCAGGACTCGCGGCGTCGCTCGGGGGCAGGGACTTCTCCCGAACGAGCGACGCGACGGTCTCGGCGCCTCAAAAAGCTGGGCATCTCGGTGAGCTTGGGCGGAGCGCCCTGACTCACGCTGAAGGCCGATGGCGAAAGGCCATCGAAACTTCGAAGAAAGAACCATCAAGTCATCCCCAGATCTTCCAACGAAATGCCCAATTTCTGCCTGTTTCATCCATATAAACCCTGCCCAGTCAGGCAGACATTTGGGCAATCCCAATCCTTCTTAATCTTGCCCAATCAATCACCCGAATGAAAATTCGTGGCCCAATCGGATCCTGTGAGGTGTCCAAGGGTGACGGGAGATCCACCCGGCGACCGGTGGCTGCTCCGGCCACCGGGGCGTTCAGCGCTCCCACCCCGCCCAGCTCCACACGGCACGAGCGCTGGCCGACGCCGGTGGTGGAGGAAACAAGGCACTGTCCGGTGGAGGAAGACGAGACGAGCGGTGTTGAAGGCCCCCTTTCTGATGAGGCCAAAATGCCCAACTCATCTGTGGAGCATGTCCGGGGGCTAAGTCATCTGTGCAAAACTTTGGGAAGCCGTGATTGTCTCAGACGTTCGATGTGTGGCATATTTACCGATCAGTTGGGGTGGTTGACCTGGGGTCAATGTAGGCAGACATTCCATGCATGGGTGTCTGGGATTCACACATTCAGACACCTCGGCATACAGTTTTACTGAAGGGGCGCCTATCGAGAAGGTGTTTGGGGAATGGCTTGGGTCCAAACCCTGGGTTTCCCACGAGAACCCGATGTTTGCCTGTGAACTCACGAATACCCGAGGTATGAATTCAGACCCTACAAATTTCCAGGGTTTAGGCTTGCAGGGAAGACATGTATTCTGTGAGGGCACAAACTGGACACCCTATGCAAGAGAGCCTGTGCTGGCCATCGATTCCTTCGCAAAGACACTCCAAAAAGAATCGGACGTTGTGCTTTAAAACCGGGGGATTTATACACACAGATTCACGACTGGCAGGCCTCACTACCCTGCCCCGCAAGGCTTGGGCAAAGGAACCAGGACTGACCCGAGTCTCCCACCTTCGCATTGGCGACCTTCAACGATGTGTCCATCAGGACCATCGCGAGGCTACCCAAAGGGCATTCCGCCAGCTGCTCGACCGATAACTCCAGGAAGGGCATGTAGAAGGGCCGCAAGTCCTGCGGAAGGCGCCGAACGTCTGCCCTCCAAACCCGCTTGGGGATGGGGAGATCTTCACATTTGGACGGTTCTTTTCATGAAACCCCATGGGTTGGACTGTTCTGGCCAGACTCTGTTGACTCTTCCGGTTCCGGCACCGCAGGTTGGACTGTAGAGACCCAACCCACCCGACCGGTTTTGTTCTGCTTTAGACTATTCATACTGAAACTACTGAACCTTTGACCCACTCCCCATTTGAACCACTTTCAGACTTCTCCTAAACAAGGGGTGCATGAGGACCTGAGGAGTGCAGGCACTGTCTGGAGACCTTCCCGGCCACCCCTGCGTGGTGCCCCTGCCACACCACCCCATCGACGGAGTGTATCAGTGTGTTGGACCAAAACGAGTCCTGGACGGGCCGCCGGTCTCCGGAGGTCTCTGGAACCGAAGCGTTCGGTTCAACCGGGCCTTTGAAGGAACGCCCAGGTCTCCGCGCTGGCCGAACGAAATCACCACGAAGCGCAACGGATGGGATTTCTCGAAGCCACGACGCGGATGGACGCTATGGACGGGACGGGACTCACCGATCAGAGCTCTTCATCGCCACAGGGATGCTTCGTCTCAGAGAACTTCAGTCCATCTCCCCACCTCGACTGTTGACCTAAAGCGTCGACTGGGACAAACAACAGGCGGGAACAGCGATCCCCTTCACGAAGCAGCGGCCAGAGCTTCCCGAATCGACTTGCAGGTGGTCTTGATGAAAGTTTTTCATCGGGATACTGGAACATACTGGAACATGACTTGAGGATTGATGACAAGTCCACCTCCAAATCAAGATGTCTTCAGCACCGGAGAAAACCTCGCAAAGCATCAGCAAGTTTTCATGGCAGAAGGGTCATCATCGCTTCAGGCACAGCTATATCCCCCAACGGAACCCTTGACTCAAATCCCAATGGCACCACCACTTGGAAAGGCGTCTCGCTGTTCCAGCCCTTTGTGTTCGGCTGTGTATGTGTTTTCTTTCTGTTTGGCTGTGGACAATTTGCCCGTGGCAGGCCTCTCAGGCACCACATTCCGAACCAAACAATCTCCTCCTCCCCCCTACATCCGGTCTTTAGCTGGCGCAAGGAGCTCATTGACCTTCTTCAAAAAGTGTTCTGGGAGCTCTAGCTCACGGCCCTGTGATCGTTGCAATTCCACCATGATTTCCGCAAGAGTTCTGCATAGGTCAAGAGGGTACTCCTTCAGCTTCAGCTTGGCCGTTTTTTAACTGGCCTTTGCTGTCTGGTCCTATGGATGTTGCCGTTGCCTCAAAGGCAATCCTGTGGCGCGTCCCTCAATGAACATCTGCTCATGGTTCTCGCAAACGTTGATCAACAAAGATCTGTTGGATGGCAGACAGGCCACCATCGTGTCCCTGCCTTGCTTCAGCAAGCCTATGCCGAGCAGCTCTCTTGCGGCCACGCTCCTTCTGGTAAGCAAAACGCTTGCCATGGACTTTGTCTCGCTCCTGACGATTTGAGGTGACCACACCTTTGCGGACTCGATCCAGCTGCTGCTTCAAGTCCTCCAGATACTTCTTCTTCTTCTCATTGATGGCCTCCTGAAGTCCAGGTGCCCCTGGGACAAGTCGCAGGGCATCTTCAATGGACCTGATCTCAGTTGATCTTTGGCTGATCAGGATCAGAACCATCTCAGCAACTTCAGATGTGTCTGGGTTGGTGAACTCAACCGTACACACTTCCTTCAGATCTGGAACACACCAACCCTTGGAACTTGCCCTTGCATGCCACCACCATCCTCGTCCGGAGTGGCCCCCATACAGCACTGGCTACTCACGTTTCAGAGGGGATCTGCCGGCCCCGCGCATGAAAGTCATAATCTGCCACTACCCTACGGAAACACAATGAGTCACTTCAGGTCATTTAAGGACTCTCAGGGCATCCTCATTCTTGCGTGGAAGCATCGGTGCTCCAACCAACCAGGTCGACCCAGTCGCTGGAGCGCGCCTGGTTGAGCATGATGGATTGGTAGAACTTGCCTCGAAAACGCACCAGAACGCAAAACACCAATACGCTGCGCTACGCCCAGTGCCTACGACGCCTTCCACTGAATCGCCGATCCAGACGGAAGCCCGCTCTTGGGAAGAAGGAACCAAGGTTCAGAGGGTTATATGATGGGTAGTATTTACTACCAAAGTGGTTTAATTGTGTTTTCTGATGAGGTTCAATGATATTTGCATATGTTTGACTGTTTGACCAAAAAAAATGGCCTGCGCACCCTTGCCTGCCCAAAGTCAGCCGTACAAAGCGAGCTTCTCCTCCAACTGACTTTAGGGTAGTGTTTTAAGGAATCATTCCTTTAGCAGACCTGCCCGCCAGTAATGGGGTATGGATGGGATGACCCCTCAACTCCTTGACTTTCCCTGAAGGAGCAGAATTCGACTACCTGAGAAGAGACCAATGTTTGGAGGGAACCGACCACAGGTCTGTGCCAAATTCTATCACTGTATATGTAAATCTCTATATAAGCATCCAAGAAAGGTCATGTATACGCGTGTGCCACGGGCGCAACGGGCCCGCCACGGGCCCGACGGCCCCGCCGCCCGCCACGGACCCCGCTCCACTCGAGGGATCGGACAACGCATCAAACGCTGTGACGATGCGCGCGGATGGTGCCACCCTGCGCGCAGGTCTTATTGGATGTGATTGGTCACTGGGACTTGGAAAAGTTCAACGGCGGTGACCACGCCCAACAGCAACGGCCTACTCACTCCTGCGAGCATCCCTTTTCACACCTCTATACTCAGGTGCCAGATAGGCCCCACCACTGCAAGCAAACACTGACCGGTTCACACTGCATAAACGTCACGTCAAATGACAAGCTTCAAGCAAGGAAGGGCGCAGCCTCCTGCTTGTTTGACGCATCCATTCCACAGACACACCACCGTGGGCTCAAACATGACAAATTCCATCTGCTCCTCCGAGCGCGATCTGACGATTTTGTGCGCTGCCGATGATCTCGGACCTGATTTACCACACGATCTGGCACATGCACGCTGCATTGGGACATGGTCAACCGGCCGGTGATCCACTTGCGCGCAGCCGGGATACAGCAGGCGAGCAAGCCTTCCACAGCTCCACGAGCGAGCTGAGCGAACGTACTGCGCTTCTGGGGCGCCCACGACGCGCGACATCCGAATTACCTCAAGTGAAAATAACATCATCTGCAATGTGGCAATATTGCAGTGAAGCTGTGTTGCTGAAGTCCTCGAAACAACCTTTGAAAAGAGTGGCTTCATGCCGTTTGCACTTGAGTTCCCAAAGAAGCAGTCCCAAAAATATCCGCCCGCACCGAAGGTGCCAGGGGGCGTGATTGTGACTGTGTTGGGTCGTGTCCGCTATATAGCTTTAGCTAGGGGGGCATTTGGGTTTGGGATCGATATTGTATATTCTGCATCATAAGCTGCGTCTGGGAAAGGAGTGGGGGATGTAGAAAACATGGAAAAATACAGTACATGGTTGTCACATATCATCTATGTTTGACAAATCTCTCACCGTCGTATCATTTGCATCCACCAGGCCCATGAAAGGCGAACAAACGACCCCGCTCAACAGTCTATGTCTTCATATCTACAGTATATATATATATATGTACATATCATTCTTGCATCATACGCATCAGCTGGTTGCAATTGTATCGTTTATTGTACATGATCACTCTATGTTTCCAATGCCGTGGAAACTGCACAGTTTTCGGGGGACCAACTTATATCCAACAATGCCTGCAAATGTGTATCTTGGGCCACATTTTGGGGACCAAATGAAAATGTACACTTTCAAGGCTGATCGAAATGTAGAGCGATTGTGTACAGAAACTATGTGCATGATCCAGACTTAGACATGAACGCAGCATGCATTGGATGAATGAAACAAAAGAAACATGTATACTGTACAATCACATAGAATCACTCTGTTTTTGGACCCTCTTACACATTATTATGTCTTGCTGTTTACTAAATTGCCTGTGTTACTGCTTACTTGCAATTTGCAAGCATTGTCGGAAATCATTAGGACTCCATCAAAAAAGGTACCCTTTCAAGAGGGTCGAACAATAGATTGATGATATCGAGTGATGACAAGAAACTCTATCTCTTTGGCCAGAGCCAGAGCCGGTGCGACCGTGCCGTGTTCTGCACCAAGCGGCACCAGGTGAAGCGGCCGCCCTTGAAGGCCGGGTGGCTCAAGTCCTCGGACGCCAACGGAGCTCACTCCGTGACCTTCGCCCCGGCCCCGGCTGAATCTGGCAGAACGAGTCTGCTGAATCGAGAAGAACAGCATGCCATGCCCCTGAAAGACCAACAGCTATCCTAGTTTGAGTTTACCAAGCTCTCTCCCAGAAGCTCCGTGAAAAGAGCCCTACCCGTCCCTCAAAACCTAAGGATTGGGTCCACCCCAGACCCCTCCATGTTCGACTCGGTCAAGCGAATTCAAACTGCTGGAGCCTTCCGTGGCTTTTGTCCTTCCGTCCTCCCGTCCTCACCACTGAAACTGTGGGTTGGATCAGAACTGCCGCGCAGTCAGTGGAAACGAGCCAGTGCAAAACCCCATTGAAAGGCATCCCACAAAACATCCAGCTGACTTCTTGTCCTTCTAACATCCCAACCTAGACATCCCAAAAGAGGTTGGACCCAACCAATTAAAACCCCAAAGGTCTCCTCTGGGATTCTCTTGGACATTCTAGTCTAACTAACACATTGTGTTTTGCGATCCTACAGTATTGCCTTGTGTCTGGGCACAGAGTGTCCTCAACCATGCCTTCTTGTGTAAAGGAATCACGATTCCAATTCCCTGCCCCACATCGCCATGCGCACTCATCCAATGGAAACGTGCCACGTCTATAGTTATAGTGTTCCAGTCCAGTGAAAAATGTTCCCATGGGTTCCCACAGGTAATTGAATAAAGTGCTGAAAAATACTTCGATGATGTTGGTCATGATTGAGGAAAAGGGATAAGAATTACTTCTTTTTCAGTTTATCATGCCGTCTATGCCGATCTCTACCATTGGAACCATCAACCGCACTTCCCCAGATGGGCCACCGGCTTGCCACAGCCGCAGTTCAGCGCCTGGACTCGCTACAATACCCGCCCCATCAACCACTCAAGGACCGCTCGAACACATCCAATGGTTTGGTGGAAAACCCATGGTCAAGAACTCCTGCCATGTGGGACATGGTATGGCAGCATGGCATGATATCCAGAGGGAAATCGTCTCCAATTCTTGGCCAACTTGCACTTGCTGGTGATGGAAAATCAGTGCAACATCTTGGTCGCACGTCTATCCACATCTTCCGACGTTTGTGTTTTTGTTGACCTGTTTGTTTCTGCTTGTTGAATGAAAAAAGTAAAAAGAAAAAGAAGGGTACATGTAAAAAAACAGAAACAAGAAATCATCTGAACGCACATTCAGTGACCTCTCTTGTGGAGCCCCGTCCACCGGCACTGTCAGCCTTCTAAAAAACGGCACGCTTCTGACTCAAAAAAAAAAAGATCCGTTCATCCACACCTTTCTGACCACCCTCGTCGAAACCCGAAACCATCCGTTGGCCCCTCGTCCCTCCACCCTCCACCCCCGGTGCATTCGGTCCACCCGATTCGGTCCAACCGATTCGTTGGGAAGACCGAGACGACCGGAGACGTTGAACCTCGAGAGACACCGGCCGTGTGTGCCGGGCCGTCACACACATGGCAAGGTCTCTCGATGTTCCACGTGTTTGGTGTTACACGGCCACACCCAGCAGTTTCAGCGTGGCCGAATGCTCAGTCCCTGCCGGCTGACGAAAAGTGCCGAATGCTCCGGGACATAGAAGAAACATAGACCCTTTCGGGTGTCCTTCGGGTGTCCTTCGGGTGTCCCGGACCTAGGAAATGTACCAGGAGTCACATGGAGTTGGGTGGTTTTGAGTCCCATCCAGTGAGTGAATGTTTTGGGCATCCCTAACCTCCATGGATCGCACCCCTTTGTGACTGCTGGTATGTAGTTCTTAATCGGCCATCTGTCCCTTTCTGATTCGTGCAAATCAACTCTACCTGTTACCTTGTAGACCTGAACGGCCACTCTAACTGTGTTCAGGAGATGCCAGTAAATCAAGGTCACCGACTGAACTCCCATGTTTTCATCAGCCGACTGGACTCCCAGGATAAACTGTTGAACCCCCATGATGGCCCATCATCCAAATCCTTCACAAGGTTTCCAGATCCCGGGCATCTAAAAGCGTCAAACCCAAGCACGTCTTCGTGCTTCCCTTTTTTCCCAGGCGGGCCTGGCTCTTCATCTTCCTCACTGCCTCAACCTGCCGGGCCGAAGCTTTGGACGGCCGAGGTCTCTGCATTGAGGTCGAAGGAACAAACCAAGGGTGGATGTTTGACTGCAAGTCGAACACAAACAACGAGGGAGGCGAGCAGAAGATTGACATATGATGAAATACAGTGGTTTCAGAGTAGATGGCACAAACCTCCAGATGTCCTTTAAATGGGGATCCATATAAACCACCTTTTGGTCATTGTGCCATCTACTCTCAATCCACTGTATGTGTTTTGTGTGCGGTATACTTGACTTGTTGAGTTGAGACTCAGGAACTTTACTGAAAGGTCTCACACTCTTGGGTTGTAGGTGTCCTTCCAATGGGACCACCCTTCATCTTTTCTTCCATCGTGGAACCTGCAGTAACCACCAACCCGGATGCCCAAAAGCAGCTGCCACTACCCCCCCCCCTCCCCGCTCAGTGATGACTCACATCCTCACCATTAAAATCATCGCCTGCCCCGGCGAACCCAAACAGACCGCGACCAGGCTTGCCCGCGACGTCGGTCGAGCCTCGGGCGCCGAGAGCAAGGGGCTCTGAAGGCAGCATCTCTCGTAGGTGAAGCCACCCCCCCCAGCACTGTGCGGAGCGCGGAGCGCGTGGAGCGCGTGGAGGGCGTGGAGGGCCGAGGCTTGGGAGGGAGCAAAGGTTGTCCATACCCAAACACGACGTGTCTGGGGCTAGTTGCCTACATTAGGCACATAGGTGAGGTAAACGTATGGTGGGGACATGAACTCCACGCATGGTGGGCTCGTTTTTTGAATTATAAACTTCCAGAGAGATGGACAAGTTCTGACCCCCAAGCCGTTTCCTTGCAAAATATAGATTATATGTAATATATATAATATATATATATATATATGTGTGTGTGTTATATCTATATAACAGTATATAATAATTAGATCGTTCAACCTGTTGGATTTGAGTCGGGTGCCACCAATCCCCCGAACATGGCTCTCTTCCAAGACTCCAGTCCCAAGTCACGCTCTTCGTTTTCAGTCCAGCGCGGACTTGGCGCCGGCTTCGTGTGGTTCCAAGCGAAGAGCGCCGGCGCCAACCCTGGACCACGCGCCGCGCCGCGCAACACGCAAAAGGGGGGCCATGGACCAAAAGTCCATCGTCGTCACTGGGAGCTCCTGTCGTCACTCTTCCTTTCGATCCTCCGATGTGGAGATCATCCATTGTCGTGTCTGATGCATGCCCTCCTCCTCCTCCTCGTCCAATCTGCATTCAAACCTTTGCAAACCCCAAGGAAGATCCATCTCCACAACCTCCGATCTCGGGCCCCAAACCACCAAACACTGAAGGCTGCTTGGCCAATTCACTCTCTTGAGGGCACCAAACCCTCTTTTAAACTGAATGCTCTGAAGGCCGCTCGGCCAAGCCACTCCTTCCAGACACTGGTTGAACGCAAAGCCAAAGGAAAGACTTTCAAGGCTGTTGGGCAAAGCCACTCCTTCCAGACTCTGGTTGAACACCCCGCCAAAGGAAAGACTCTGAAGGCCGCTAGGCCAAGTCACTCCTTC